TTCCCTGTGATGGAGGGAAAAGTGTAACTTCAGGCCACAGAAAAAGAGCAGCTGGCTTTCAAGCCAGTCCTCAAAAATCTCAGCCCAAAAGCTGCCAATGCAAGCTTCTCCCTGTTTATTTAGAGTTGCTGCTGCAGCAGCCTACATTCAACCTAGTGTTCACTGTTGTTGATGTTTTATCAATAAAAAAAATAATGCTACCTAAAATCACAGGAAGAATGTTCACAAAATACAAGTACAAGTACATATTAGAAAAATGAATCTATTCTTGGATTTACTTAAACTTTTACCGAGACCCGCAGGCATTGGGGAGATGATGTAAGAGACCCAGTAACCTACCTAATAAGGAGTTACTGGTACATTCAAGGACACCTGAATGAGCCTAAAGAAACCTTTCTCAAATTCCCGCCCCATTTGCAGGCGACACCAAGAAGCTCAGAATTCAGAGAATAGAATGGGAACAATTTTAATTCAATTTGAATAAGCCAAAATGGAAAACCAGATCCTTCAAACCAGCAGTCTCTAGGATGTTCCTATGGCCTAAGGAGATCAAATTTTCTGAAGTCTTTAATGACAGCCCCTGCATTCTGTCTAAACTGCCTTTTTCTCAATTGGAGGCCCTTTCTTTCTGAGCCCTTCAAGTTCACTCACTGTATAGGCATAAATCAAACTGCCTAAAACCAGAAACAAATCACTTCTTCTGCTCATGAGCCATCTTAATGCTGATGCAAGAAGGATTTGAGAATGGACATGATATTTTAACAAGCATGACTAATTGAGTCTTAAATCTCTAATCAGGCTTCTTTTTTCCCCTTTACACTTTGTTCTTGTGGCTGTTATAAAGAGTTCTGGTAAGCTGGGCTCTGTGTAACACAACCCAATTTCTAGCTACCTAAGAGGCTGGAGCAGGAGGATGGCTTGAGCCCAGGAAGTAAAGACCAGCCTGTGAAATACAGTGAATCTATGTCTCAAAATAATGAAAGAAAAAAAGAGTTCTGGGGTTACTATGATTCTTGAAAAGCACTATTTACATATAATACACATAGATACTCATGCATGTATATTTAAATCAAGCCTCTTTTCACTCTTTCTTCTTCTTGAGTTCTGAACAATGCATCCATCCTTTTTCTGAAAGTTAATTATATGGAGTTAAACATTTAGTGGCCTGGCTCTTTTTCTCAGCCTCAGAGACACAATACTTACGTTAAATATTTCTTATAATTTATTGTGAACCTTTTTCTTTTAATTCTTAGAATTGGAAGAATGATGTAAAAAAATGTGTATTTTTTTCTATATTCTTCCAAGGAGAAATGAATATATGGCTGTAAAAATTGTTCTAAACTGACCACTAATTTATGCATTCATACACATATATTGTGTTTGTGTCTGTGGTCCCAGGCCATTTGGGAGTACTTTTATTACTCAAATAAAAATAATGTCCAACTTCCTGGATTCTATTATTTTCCCCATCAATTTTTTAAAAACAATGTCACTCAATTTAATACCAAGTAGAAAAAAAATGATGGATTTTTACTGTGCCCTTACTAGAATGGCCTGAAAAGAAATATTTTCTGATCCCTTTTAGGTCCCATGGATGTCATTATCACCTGATAAGGTAATTGATACCTAATTTATCCTAATTCTCAAGACTGTCTTTCCATTATTGTCACTTGGCTGTCTTGAGGCAATATATAATCACTCAGGAAGAGTAAGATGCCATATAACCATCTGGTTTCCTTTAGATCAAAAATCCCCCATTAATATAGATCTAACGACCTTCTTCTTGGTCATACATTATGTTTGTTGGTTAGTTAGTTGATAAGCTACTTGCTCTCAGACAGGTTATTCTCATAGAAGGAAATTATCCACTTCATTTTATCTGAAACTCAAATTTCCACTTTTTAGTTGTAGATGGACACAATACCTTTATTTTATTTATTTATTTTTGTGCAGTGCTAAAGGTCGAACTCAGTGCCTCACACATGCTAGGCAAGTGTTCTCCCACTGAGCTACAGCTCCAGCCCCTCGGGTTTCTATTTTCGAAGTGAGGAAACACAGCACACCTAAGGGGAGGCAGAAAAATCTCACAATGAAGCATAATTTCTGATTTCCATTTTCTTGACATAACCATTTATAATGGGGGAAATCTATCTGTTTAATCTAGTAGATGTTGTCATGAGAAAACGTGCCAGCATGGAAGCACCTGGATAAAATAAAGGTGAGGGTATCCTGCCATCTCTTTTAGACATTTGATAGTTTTAACATGGTGGTGGCCATTATCTAACTTTAATTACAAGATCAAATTACTTGTCAAACATGTACTGTAACTTATTTTTGTCTGTGTTCTGCCCCAATCCCTGTTTGTAATCCTATCAGACAATATAATTTATTTCAAAACAGAAAAATTCTGCCACCTTCCTGAATTTATTGTAACATAAGCAGGATAAGTAAATTTTTATGAATAAAAATCTTCCATCACTTCAGGGTTTCTCACTCCCTTCCTTCCTTCTCCCCTTACCTCACATACAAAGACAGCTGGGTACAGAACCAAACTGTACTTCAAACTATATTGTCAACATCTGTACAACAGCCGAGGGACTATCACTGTTCCAGCATGTACAGTGCTGTACAGCCACTCAAAAAACAAAAACCTTTTTTATTCCTAAGCTGTTTTTTCCCTTTTTCATACTGTCAAGCTGGACATATAATAATGCACCTACTGATTAAAATAATGTCTTACACAAGTGCCTGTAAAGTACAATGAGAGGCAAGTAGAATACAGACAATTAGGGGAATATACATTTAAATCAATTTTAAAATTTAGATTCTTGTAAGCACACAAAAAGTCTTCCATTTAAATTAAAAGCTGTGCCCAAGCATGCTCCTCGTGGGCTTATAAGCTATACATTTTCTTTTTAATTCAACATTTATTAAGCACCTACTTTGTGCAAAGTATTATTTAGGTGTAGGATAGGTGCAAGGGAATAATATAAAAGCTACTTTGGCTACCAGCTCATAACCATAGGTTTTATCCTCCTTAAAAAGCAGCTGTTGTGAAATGTCTGAAGTGGACAGTTGAGGGGGGAAAGCTATTTTATAATAGTCCTGGGAGTCATTATGAGTGCTTACGGCAGTAAAGGAAATCAAAGAAATGAAGTAGATCTTAGAAGTAGAGCAAAGCATGCAGTCACCACCTATAGCCCAGCACTATATCAGTTCTCTCTTAAAATTTTTTTTTTCTGACAAACTCCTTTCCTTGTTTCCATACAAGATTTCCAATCTCATCACTATATATGGCAGCAGAATGGTAACTGGCAAAATTCCCTCCTAAGTCTGTAACACCAATTTAGCTTGTCTACTCTGGCCTCAAGGTTTAGTATTTTCACTTTAAAAAAAAAAGGATGCATTTGGTCCAAAGTTGTTCAGCAACAAGGAATCACATCCAGAATCAAAGCTTACAGGACTAGGATCTAAAAATGGAAGAAGTGCTTATTTGTTATCGCCCCATTGAAAAAATTCAAGTTAATCTATTGCTGTATGTATAGGAACCCTCAGGCATGAAGAAATGAACTGCCCCCACAGCCAGTCTCTCAAAAATAATCCTAAAAAGTGATGTGAAATGTACTATATAGTAAATCACATTGTAAGCAGTTCTGTTCTTTGTTTCTAGGTAGACTACAGCACCTGGGTAGAAAAACCATACCATGCTTTAATAGTTGCAAAGCAACACTCCTCCCACCCCACCCTTTCCAGACACTTGCTAAACTTAATGGAAAGAGTAAGTCCACTGTGCTGGGAGAAGTAAAATGTGGACTGGGATAGAATAATATCAGCTGGTCTGTGGGCAAAAGACTATTTAGCTTATATTTGGAAAAGTTTTTATAAATATGAAAGCATCCCTCCAAAGTATTGCAAATTAAAAATTAAATTAATTTAAAATGTATTTAAACATCAAGGACTAAATCTGCATCAGTAAAAGACAAAATGTGAATATAAAAAGGAAAAATCCAAGGTCTCTTGTAAGTCTCAATGTTAAACATGCCTTTCATCAGAAGGGGGGGGGAAAGAAAAGGAAAAACCCAGGCAAATTATATTAAGTACTGGTATCTAGTCATTGTACAGCTATATCAACAGTGTGCTTTCTGACCATTATCTCAGTAATCACCCAAAAACTTATTGGTTAAATGAGGAAGCCAGCATAGTGAAAAATTTCCAATCATCTAAAAATTAAATACTGCAACAGTTTAGTTTTAATTGATGCTTCCCAATGAACTTTATAGATGTATATGGAGAGGCTGTGGGGATCTGAGCCCAACTTAAAAATAGCAATTTAAGAATATCTCAGAGAAAACTCCTCTAAAACACACTAATTAGACCAATATGAATTCATATATTGTACCTATATATACCAACGAATAGACAGTGTTCAGGAAAACACACAGTAGGTCTATCCCAATCATAAAACTACATAAATGAATCACTTAAATTCCAACTTTCATTTTTAGTCTGGGTTTAATTTCAGTTTCTTACCATAAAAGCATATTGTGTGAGTGTTAAAAGCTAAAGTTACCTTTTTAACACTCTCCTAAGATCTACCCAAAATCTACTCTCATTCCCTTCAGAGCCTGGCAGTAACAGTAAGCTGCCCAAATGTGTTGATCCAGGGCGGGAAGAGACCTGGTTTTTCAAGGAAGCTGTGGCACTGCTCAGGATATCGGTATCGCAGTGGAAATGGGGAGCTGAGTTGTTAAAAGCATTTGCTGATGGTATGCCATGCAAGAAGTTCCTTTCAATTTATTTAAAGAGACGAGAGCAAGGGGAAAAAAGAAGGAAAGAGGAGAAAAAAGGAGGGAGATAAAAGCTCTAAATTCCAACAAAGTTGCAGTATTAATATTCCTTCTATTTGCCATTTTGTAAAATAAAGTTTAAAACCATTGTATTTCTTCGCGTCCTAAAAAAGGCAGCCACTCTCACAAACCCCAACTTATCTCCAGCCTTACCTTATGCTGCTAGCGCAAACCCAGAGGCTAAGGGGCCCTGCTCTCAGCGGCAGCAGTAGGGGCAGCGGCAGCGACAGCGGCACATGCCATGTGTTAGCGGCAGAAGCAAAAGCAGCGCTGCGCGAGGTGGCCCCGGTGCCGGGAGAGCCTTTAGCAGGGGTGTATACTGAATGCCGCCATTTTAAAGCGAGGTTCCTCAAATCATTAGATATAAGCAAATTAAAGCCCGCCCCACCTACATAACTTCAGGGCTGGGACGTGCTACCCCGCTCTGAGTCGGCCGCTGTGGGGTATAAAATGTCAAGTCTGGAGACACGCACATGGGGACTCCCGAATGCAGGCGACAGTCCCTCCACTTCCCTAGTCCCCGTGCCACCCCTGTGCTTTTGCAAGCCTCCTTTCAAGCCCGGAGGAAAGAATATTTTATTTTCTGGACTCCACTGGGGCCCTTTCCCGGAGCCAGCAACGGACTGGGGGAGGGGACGGGGGACCCGGGCCAGCCCTCCCCCTTTCTCCCATCCTCTTGGTTCAGTCCACTTGGAGCACACCTCGGAGCGCCCCAGCTCCCTCGTGGCGGCGGGCGGGCGTGGGGCTCCCGCCCGGGCTAGAAGCTGCCATAGCAACCCCGGCCCAAACCCCGCCCGGTCCTAGCCAAAGGCGTGCCCTCCCGTCCTGGTCAGTGCCCTAAACCAGATGTCCCCTCGCGGAGTCCGCTGACCCGAGTAGCCCGGGCCAGGCCGCTGGGGCCACAGTTCTCCGGTGCCCTGTGCCTGACACACCAGTCGCGCCGAGGGAGCGGCGCTCGCGAGGGGGCTTTAGGCGCCAAAACGCAACTCCCGCGAAACTCTACAAGGCAGTGGAGCCGCGAGCGCGCGGGCAACAAGCGCGCGGGGTTCTGAAGCGGCTCCCGGCCGTCCCCAGCCGCCTGGCCCCGCCCCGCCCGGCCAGGTAGTGCGGCGCGCCCCGCATCGCCGCGGCCGCTGACCTCACCTGGCTAGGCGTTGGGCTCCAGCCTTGGCTCGCCGCTGAGGAACGCGCGGGAATTCGGGCGCGTGCTGCCTGGGCTCCGGCGCCCACCCGGGGACTCTCTGCCCTCTGCCTCCCTCTCGCTGCTCCTAAAGAGCGCCAAAAAGTCGCGCTCCTGATCACGCTCCGAGTGCGGGCACTTTCTTCCTGTAGGGCGCTGTTTCGTCGCGAAATATATTCTTTGTGTGATTCGTTCCTTCGTGCAGGGTTTTCAGAGAGAGCAGCGTGGGCTTTATTCTCAGGGGGTGTGGCGCCTCTCCCCCAAACCTGGCCGCCCAGCCCCCGCTGCGAATGCCCTTTGTCATTTCATTATTAAGGGAAGGGGGGCAAATCATAACGCTGGGCTTATTCCAAAACGAAAACACATGGAGTATGGACACATCCCGGGTGGGAGGGGGCGACAGCAAAGTTTCTAGAGCCTTAGAAACTGAAGTGCCAATGGAAAATGCAGTGTGCCTCAAAGCTGTGGGCTTATAGACATTTCTGAGACAGGTGAGGCAAAAGAGGTATTCCAAAAACGACCCTAGTCAATAAATAGAGCGACGCACTGCAGATTGAATAAATAAATACTCACCAGCTGCCTTTGTGGGTCCTTACCCTTCCATAAATGCCCCCAATTTTTCATTTCCCTCTAAGAACCTAGTAGAGGAAAATGTTGATCAGTGCAAATAGTTCCCCTTCTTCGATGGAGTTTGCAGGGTAGGAGGAGCCTGAGGTAAGCTTCCAGATACTTTTGAATGGAAAATGGACAAAGCAAATGCAATTTTATATTTTGATTAAAAAGTGTGCATCTGGACAGCTAAATTACAAGTTTCGATTTAATGCAAGTGTAATAGGAGCACCAGCTGTCCCTTAATTGGAGCCTCACAATAATAAATGCGTGCTTTTATTTAATTTTATGAGGACAATTGTAGTTGATAACACACGCACTTGCAGGATCGGCAGTGACAAGCTCATAGCAATTCATGGCTGCTTTCCTGCAATCAATGGCTTCATCCGAGGACTGAGTTCTACATGCTCTGCAGAAAGTGCAAAAACATTGCAGGAGATATTTAAGCAGCAGTTAGGTTGAGGAGTGGAGTGAATTCTCGGGCTAATTATACTTTTTAATTCTGCTGGACTGATCCAAATAGAATTCTCCATCTAATTTTAGGCAAGAAATCAATCTCTGTCTGTTAAATGCAAGATAATAGGAGTGGGATCCTAATGGTTGGGAGGCAAAGACTGGGTACAAACTGCCTTTCAAATAATTGAGAGAATTCCCAATGGCATTTGATAAGAACTGTGAAAGTCATCAGGACTATATGCAGGAACAGTGCCTGATGCTTTGTAATATGGATAGAATCCTAGCATAAGTTAAACAGAGAAGGAGTTTCTTGTGACTCACAAATTCCTAACCACCTCTCCCCACCTATCTTCAAATTTGCCAAGTTACCTGCATTACTGTAAAATTCAGATTTGTCTAACATATAGGAAATGGCTTTGGCAGTCCAGAAACTACAACAGCTAAAAGTAGATGTTGGCTACCACAGGAGGCTGAGAGAAGGGCAAGGCTGAATTATATAACTTTATATCCAATGATCTAACAAATGAGGAACTGTTATTGCTGTGAGTCAACAAAGAAGTCTTTATACTAAACCTAACCTGGGTCAACACCAGTCCTTTTACCTCTGTCCACTATTGCAAGCCACATGTCCTGCGGGACACTTGGGGTTTCCCTAATACCACAGAAACTGACTCAATTTTATTGTTCTTGAGTGGCTGAAGTAACTGTTTTATTATAAATGTAAAGCAAACATTGGTCATTTTGATATTTCTTCCACATTGTCTGTTGCTTAAAATTTCTGGCCAGTGAAAATTGCAAATGAGACTTTATTATTCTCTTTCCCACGCTGCAGGGGAGAGTAACCTTATAAACAAATTTTAGCCTGGTAAACTGTCTTCCTTTTACCAAGGGTGATATGACCTCCACAAATGAAGCTAGGCAAATTTCCTTGTCACCCAGCCACTGGGGAGAATTTTCAAAGGCCTTGGGAAATTACTGTTCCCTCCCCTCTGCATTTTAAAAGCATCAATTTGCTCTCTGGAGTAGACTCACCTTGGAATTACTTTCCACTTTAGTGGAGTGGCCAAATCTACCCAACATTTTCTCTTCTGTTCTTCTTGGACATGGTTGGAGACATGACCCAGGAAAAATAGAGTTATATACTGACTGACAGCCTGGATGAGTTCTTAGCATAATGTATGTATATTATAGTCACTCCATGCTCACACCTGTTCCTCCATTGCATTTGAGGATCCTCTGAGAACCATTCTCCTGATGTGCCTTCAAAGGTCAGTGTCTTGCAACACTTGCCCTCTGCCCCAGCCAGTCAAGTGGAGGCATGTAAGCAAATATTTAAATACACTTCAGACATTCCTACCAAGATCTGTGTCTTGAAGCTCACAATGGACACTTACATATAAAAATGTAAGACTAAGACTCTGAGTAAACATGTCACAGCCTTGCAAATAGCATGTTTTTCCAATAAAATATAATTAATTTTGACTGGTGCAGGAAAGAATTCTAAAAGTTATGTAATGATTTAGTAACAAAAGGATTATTGTAATCTACCACCAAACAAATGTTTCTGTGTTTATAGAGATGCTGGAGAAGTGAAAAGTTACACTCTCTGGTATATTAGTGCACCGTGATTTTAAGGAATTTTTGAGCTGTCATTATATTCTATCGCAATTATCATTTCATTGCTCTTCTAAGCCACATAAATCATTTGTTATTCTCTTAAAAACAGAGTCAACCTGTGCTATTGAACATATCAGCAGGGCCATGCTATGGACAAAAGCTGAAGGATCTCCTTCCTGTTTTGAATCCGTGGAACTGTTATTTGCTGTTGCTGTGTTCCAGGGATGGCTCTGCAGGCTGCAGCCCCACGGTAACATTTGTGGTCTTTTGGGAAAGAAAGCCTCTGGCATTGAAGGGTGGTTCAAGAGCTACAGGCATTATTTATTATTCATTCATTCTTTAAAAAAGCCTTTTTCATTCAGAGTTAAAGATTTGGAGTTTGGGGTTCACAGAAAGGTCTCAACTAAAGAAACAGAAGAAAAAGCAGGATCTGCTTGTTAAAAAAAAGTTTGAATGATCAAATAAATGTAGGCTTTCAAGGTAACGTGTTTGTAAAATGGTGCAGGCTGCATTTCTTACAGAATAAAAGCTAAGGCAATCTTGTGACAAGCAGAATTCGGAAATAATTGCAAGCATAGAAAATAAATTGATCAACAATTCTTGGGTTGCAAATAAAATTTCTGAAATTCAAGGCTTTGTTTGTTTGTTTTAACTTGGACAAAACTGTCAAACTTACCTGGGTATATTCTAATAAATACAGAAGAAAACAAGATAAATATTAAAGAACTTCATCCTCCATTCTCCAAAACACACTTGGGCCTGATGGGTTTACAAGGTGATTTTCACCCCACCCCAGCCTTTAAAAAATATAGTATATGAATTATCCTTGATCATTGAAAAGTATGGTATATTTCTTAAAAGTATCCTTAGAGAGAAATGTACCAAGAATAATACAGATACTAGTACTACAAAGAATAAGAATAATACAAAAGTTAAGAATGTTATAAAAAAGAAAATGAGGTATATTGTCACTGATAAATATGACAATTATTAAAGCAACAATTTAAAGTGGAACTATTCCATACTAGGCACATGGTAGCCCATTTAATTCTCACATCAATCCCTACATGATAAATAGTATTATGGGCTCATGTGAAAAATAGGTAAAGTGAGGCTTTCCCAAAGGAGCAAAGTAACAACACTATTAAGTAGGAGAGCAAGGATTGTAAATTAGTTGTCTCTAATCAGAGGGCCCACGATTTTTTATGCTTTTAACTACTACACAGTACTGAATACAGCTAATGCAAGATCCATTTGGACTTGAACTCCAACACTTGTCCCACCTAGAATGCCACACTGCTTTAATTGATGTGGGAATTTTAACTAAAATGCTACAAATGAAATACAGAAACTTATTTAAATAATTTCAATTTTAGATCAAGTACTATTTATTTCAGAAATGTCATCATAATTTCAACAAAATATCAATAGTATTGAAAAACGTATTATCATTCCAGTAAATACCAAAAAAAAATCATTTGATAA